GTCCCTATCTCAAAATATCCATACACTTCTGTGTGTTAGGAAATCATAATGCTACATTTAGTACCCCGTTAGCTCTGGAGCTTTGCAATGCAGGCAACCCCCGTATATCATACTTTTTCCAAATGAATTAAAATGGAAATGGAAGATATACGACGGATTTCCTGCTTTCTTTTTGATCAAATTCATTGGCAAATTACAGGGAGGGGACCCTCAAACATCAAACATTATTTTTTGGTTTTTTAAACACAAAAACTTGTGCTTTATTTTCAATTTGCTTTGATCGATTATCTTACTGGTTCAATTATTATTTAAATTCGTTCAATATTCCCAATGTTTTGCGTCAAAGAGGGTTGAGATCCACTAGAGTGACGACAGATTTTGTTTTTCCTGAAAATACTATGTATACAGTGTGTCCCAAAAGTAATTCGTACATTATTCCTCTTGTGTTTTCAGAAAAATCCAAAACCAGTTGATTACTTATAAAAATTGTCATTTTGTGACATTACCTTGAAAATTGTTGAACCATATTTGACAGATTGATAATTAATTTAAATAGCACCTCCATCAATTTTGAGCATAAAGTGATAACGTACCTTTAAAGAGGATTTTTTTCATATAGGGTTTAAGCTTCCTAGTACCGGGTGGGGACGAAAAATACTATTTCAATCTCGTAATAAATAAAACCATCCCGAATTACTTATCTTTTTTACTTTTCAAGATATATGCAAAAACAGCCTATAGTGTCGCACCTGGTAACAAGTGTTACAAATTAAGTGACAATACTTTTTGCGATATTTTGGGATTTGATTGTAAACAGATTTGTAATTGTCTTATTGCTTTCAATTTGTGATAAAGCTACATATTCAAAAAAACAAGTGATATAAAAACAAAAGAGCATCAGAAAACAAATTAATTTGTTTAAATAGAACGGTTACTTTTTTCTGTAATATGGTTAAAGGGCTTGAAATTCCCTTTACGATGATATCAAATATGTTATAATTACCTTGGAATTAAAGCTACAGTAAAGTTTTTAAAACAAATCGCAGTAACCATGGAAATTTAAACAAAAACAAAAGAGAGTTTTTCACTTGTCATTTCTGTCAACAAAATCAGTTTAGTGAACAATACAACTACGCAATGCAACAAAAATAGTAATTACACAAATGATGAAAAAATGTTAAGGGTTTTTATTCGATGTAATGATAATACATAGGAAGACAAGTGCAACGTTATATAATAGTTACTTCTGTATCCGCTTTTCAATTGTTTTCTTCGCTTCCTGTTGTAAATGTTATGTTTTTGTTTAAATTCCACAGCTACTGCGATTGGTTCTAAACGCATTACTGCAGCTTTAATTTGTAAGAATTATAACATATTTGATATAATTGTAAAGAGCATTTCAAGCTCTTTAAGAATATTACAGAAAAAAGTAACCGTTCTATTTAAAAAAATTAATTTGTTCTCTGATGCCATTTTGTTTTTATATCACTTGTTTTTTTTTTAATATATAGCATTATCAGAATTTGAAAGTAGAGTATTTTTGCTTCTTACGCTTTTTTGCTATCCCCAGCCCCCAATAATAAAAGAAATGTGTTTGGACATGGAAAATCAAATACACAGTATTTTAGATAATTGTGTCATACACTGTTGCAATTAGTATTGTTATAATTTCCTGTTGGAATTAGTGGTCGATTTATGGGGGTTATATCTATTATACAGTGTGTTGTGTCCCAGATTGCGTGCGGATTGCATGGATAACTTTCTTATTATTAAAGATAGAGAATTGGTCAAGTGGACGATGTTTTGCAGTTTTAGATGCTTATTTAAAATGTCCTTGTGGAAATTCAAAAAAACTAAAATTGATCATTACCTTTAATGTCTTCGAAAGTATAAGAGATTTAAAAAAAAAGTTTTACTCGTATATAAAAGTTACTGTCTTTAATACGCTTAATTTAGAATTAATGGGGGGGGGGGGGGGGGGTAGCTCTGCGGTGCACCACAAAAACATTTTTTTGCTTCATTTTAGTACTCCTTTTTCGGAAATCAATTACAATACAGTTTTTTTTTAAATTGCAGCTGATAATTAAAACTTTTGATTGAGACGTCCGATCGAAAAAGTACGATTTGTTTTGGATTCTACGCACCAAAATTAATAAGAAAAAGTGTTTTCCCGAGAAATTTTGGTGCAGTCAATTTTTGGTAAAAAAGGAAGGTTATACACTGCCTTTTTTTGAGCCCCGAAAAAAAACTTGTCTCAGATCGACCCGGAAAAAAATTTTCTTATAGAATGTGGCCTGTAGAATCCATAATTTCAAACAGTTCCAAGATTGGGCTTCTAGTTCAAAAGTTACAGCCCTTTGAATTTTCTTTCGAAATTGGTTTCTAGTCCATAACTTTTGATTGAGAAGTCCGATCGAAAAAGTACGAATTGTTTTGGATTCTACGCACCTAAATTAATAAGAAAAAGTGTTTTCCCGAGAAATTTTGGTGCAGTCCATTTTTGGTAAAAAAGGAAGGTTATACACTGCCTTTTTCTTATAGAATGTGGCCTGTAGAATCCATAATAAAACCATTTCAAATGCGAATATCTCCGAAACGAATCAATAGAATTTAAAAAGCAAAGCAGATTAGTAATCACGATTAAATTGGCTTTCAAATAATGTGCCATTTGCCATAGGATTCCATTTAAAATTTTAGGGGTTAAGCTCCCTACGTAGAGGGGTGAAAACTTGGGTTCGTGATTTGTATTCCAAAAGTTGGGAGAGGGATAAATAAATAAATAATTTCTATGTAGGTCAGGAGAAATTTATCACATGTCTTCTTCATAAGATGATGGTTAAGTCATTTGTGTAAAGGGCTGCTTTAGCTGATACACTGTAGCATAATGCGGGAGTTCTGCGACCCCAATGTCTGATTGTATGTGACCTCGCCCCCCTTGGCCACCCTAGTTGACGCAGGGGATTTAGAGCGGTCAACGTTAATTTTTGGGACTTCTTCACTCGCGTGGACTGACCCCTAAACGCCCTCACAGCAGGGTGGACCTTATCCTTATATATGGTACTTTCTCAGCTTTATTGCTTATTATCTCGACGTAAGTGTCGAATAACCGCTTAGCCTCTAAGTGGTGGAATATTAGCAAGAACCTTGAGGCTTCGCGTCGGGGTAGTACTGTACGGCTTTAATATCCTTAATAGAAATGACCTCCGGACCGAGTCCAGAATGACTTTTAGTTTCGTGTTACCGCCCCTTTTGCCCTCGACCTCAGCACCGTATTATAGCAGGTCTTAATGCTGGTATAGATAAATTGTTCGTATGGGGGATTCAGGGGCCTCCCAGTTCGTGCCAGCAATATGGAAAAGTCGGCCTGACACCTTTTCCGCTTTTTCTTCATACTCTTAACATGATTAATAAATGTCAGTAGTCTAGGCGATAGAGACTGTAAAATTGGCAAACTGGACATTTTGAGGTGGAAAAGAAAAAAAATGGTGGAATATGTTCAGTTAGGTGTCAAAAACAACACATTAAAAATCCCACCCTCCAGACCCTGTGCTAAAGGCTCCAGCCACCCCACCATCCCCCAAAAACCGTGTTTTCGCTCTTTTTGGCTGATATCTCGCGATCTATGAGGTCTATATGAAATATTTTTAGCTGAAAATATTTCTCGGGAAATTTCATACAAGGTAGATACTCAGAAGTTAGCCTAGGTGTACCTCTTAGCCTAGGAAATTCATAAAAGCGGCGAAAATCATCAATTTTCGTGGCTTTTTGCAAATATATCGCGACCTTTAGGGCTAGATGAAATATTTTTAGCTGAAAATGCTCCTCGTGAAATTTTTTACAAGGTAGATACTCAGAAGTTAGCCTAGGTGTACCTCTTAGCCTAGAAAATTCATAAAAGGAGGCGAAAATCATCATTTTCGTGTTTTTTTTTGCGGTTTTTTGCAAAAATATCGCGACCGTCAGGGCTAGATGAAATATGTTTAGCTGAAAATGCTCTTCGTGCAATTTCATACGAGATAGGTAACTGAAGAGTTGGCGTAAAGTCACCTTTCACCTTCAACTTTCATGTGTGAGGAAATATTCATTGTAAAACAAAGTATTCTATGTACCATTTATTCACGTAAAAACAGTATTTTAATATTAAAATATTCACACATTCATTTATACCTCAAATTCCTCGCTCTTTTTGGCTGATATCTCGCGATCTATGAGGTCTATATGAAATATTTTTAGCTGAAAATATTTCTCGGGAAATTTCATACAAGGTAGATACTCAGAAGTTAGCCTAGGTGTACCTCTTAGCCTTTCATCGAGAAATATATCTTTAGGGCTAGAGAAATATTTTTAGCTGAAAATGCTCCTTGTGAAATTTCTTACAAGGTAGATACTCAGAAGTTAGCCTAGGTGTACCTCTTAGCATTTGAGGAATGGTGGGGTGACTGAAGCCTTTAGCACAGGGTCTGGGGGGTGGAATTTTTAATATGTTGTTTCAGACACCTAACTGAACATACTCCACCATTTCTTTTCCACCTCAAAATGTCCAGTTAGATGTCTTTATCGCCTAGACTACAGTTTAGGATGTAAAATGAGATCTAAGTTCTTAAGGCTCGGTGTTTCCCTGACGTCGTCTGGTTGTGTGCGTAATATTTCGTACATGTTCTCCTTTTTTTACTGATAAAATTATGGGTTTTTTTACGGAAAAACAATTCAAATGATTTTTTTCAAATTTTTCTTTACGTCCAAATAATAATGTCCATCTTGTTAGTAAAAGATCGCGACATAGAGAAACTGTTACAAATAACTACGAAAAAAGTTTTTCACTAATTGGTCAATAGAAATCGTTGATGTAATGGGTATCTTACCCACAATCGCTTGTATGGGTGCCTACATACTTAGTAATAACGTCATAATACTCGTACATAAATCGTACTATAGTAAAATTGCAATTCAAACTATGTATTTCTCATTATTTACACTGTACAAAATTATGTTATTATGGTCTACGCAACAACGGCTGGGGCTGCGACATAGGGTGAACGTGCAACCACCGGGGCAGATACGTAGGGTGCAGCTGCTACGTATGGGGATGCAACGTAAGGGGCGGCCGTATACCGGGCGGCGACATATGGAGAAGCAGCGGCTACGTAAGGGGTGCCGGCAACGTATGGAGCGGAAAGGTACGGTGCGGAAACGTACGGAGCGGCAGCGGCGGCAACATAAGGAGATGGTGCTGCGACGTAGGGTGCTGCGGCCGCTACGTAAGGGGCTGCACGTACAGGCGCCGCTACTGCCAAGGGTGCTGCGGCGACTAGTGGGGCAGCCAACCCGTTGTAATTGCGGGCGATTACTTGCGAACTTTGTGCCGTAACGTAGGCGGGTGCAACCGCTGGCGCCGCGACGACCGCCGCAGCCGCCGGTGCAACAAGAGCGGCCGCCGCATGACTTGGTTTCGGTTCCGGAACGGCGAGGGTTCCAAAAACGGCAACCACGGCGAATACGAACACCTAAATATAAACAAATTATAGGTATCTTTCTCGTTCACAAATGCGATTCACTTACGGCTTTGTACATGTTTGCTGAGTGAAGTTGTTAGCTGCAACTGATGCTGATGACCAACTAAATTTGGGTTTATATACTGGAACCACCCCATCAGTCGTTGTGGTGTTAAATGTAGTGCAATCGTTGCACACATCGGTTTGTTGCAAGAACCATACGTGATTCGGGTACCTACACTTTACATAATTCGCGTTGCATATAACAGTTATTTTGGAGGCTTCGAATTTTGTATGCAAGCTATACTTTGAGGTTTCTTAATTACAAGAAACCGATTTTCCTAGTCGGAATACAAATATCTTATTATGCACTGTTGTATTGAAGGGGAAAAGTTCGATGTAATTCATGAAACTTGCAAATTGTATCATGTATCCGGCTAAAATTATATCCTTTTATTTTGTTTCTCGTAATAATGAACAAAATAAGTTAACATTTACGCAAAATTGAAGCAATTCAATGCTCAAGCGCGCCTAAACATTGCAGCACATCGTACAGATTGAACTGTATTTAGTCTAAGCTCATGGAGTAAAAATTCACTGCTGTTTGGTGGTTTTTTCTAATATAAGGTCCTTTTATGAAGCGCTTTCGTGCCACTACAGAAAGTATGGTCTATTTTTAATTAAATGTAGTTTACAATAGGTGTGAATAAAGGGCTGGTTTGGAGAAGGTGAACAGCCCCTACGTACCACCTCTCGAAAGGAATATTAAGGAAATGTTGATAACTAATAAGCCAGTCTTAACAATGTGACTTCGTTTGGTTCATAATAAGACTAATGGTTCTGCATGAGAGTCAAGATTGTTCACTTTTCACTCACATGAAGGATAAACGGAAGGAGCGTTGACAACCAGAAACATCGTGAGTGAAGCTACACCGTCCGAGGCTGGATTTACCACGAGAAGATGCAATTCAAAGTATCTGCTGTAGTGTAGAACTCCCTAAAATTGTCGAGAAACTAGAAGTCTGGCTTGGGTAGTGGGCGCAATTTGAAAAACTTAACGAAAAGAATTTAGCTGCAGTAAACAAGTTTCGAGCTTTCGTACAGTGTATGGAAATTGGAACAGAAGGTCATCATTCATCAAACAGTTTTATTTTTGGTTAACTTCTAAAGACGAATATTCCATGGGGAATCCTCTGGAGCAGAATCCGTTGAATATTTTTTGGGGTGAATTTTCACAGAACATCGCGTACATAGCGTAGTTTTTTTACGCGGTGACAAGTATTAGTACAGGCTATATAATATTTTTGTATGAAAAAAATTAGTTACCGGGCGAAACCGGGTTTTTCAGGCAGGTGGAATGACTAGAATTTGGGAAAAAATAATTAAAACAGCTCAATTTTTCCGCGGGTGAAATCACTGGAGTTGAAAGGGGTGGAAAGTGGTATTTTGCAAATTGTGGTAAAACTATTGATTTTAGACGAAAATGTTAAATGTAAAAGTTATAGAGATTAAAAAAATGAGCAACTTTTGTATCTACACTATTTTCACATAACCTCCAATTTTCCTAGAAAAACCGGAAAAACTGTTTTTTTCGTTTTTTATTGTTATTTTTGCGAAAAAAATGTCGTAGGGGTTTAAAATTTGGAGGAAACATAGCTTGTTTTATGATAAAAAAGAAGATAATTTTTTGGGCCCGTAAAGTTGAACCGTTTCCAAGATCTCACGATTTCTGAAAAAAACCACCTCTTTTTCAAGGGGATGAAAAATCTATTTTTTTCATCGTACAGAGGTGCGGAGGGTAGCAAAATTTTCGGGAAGACTTGCATTTTAATCTCTTGCGACATTTTTGGAGTTGCAAATAAAAAATAAATACAAACAACCTGTTCTAGACGGACTAAAACAAATGGCATCAGTTATATTTTATGGAAGTCCGGGTATCTGGTTGTCAGAATGGGGTTAATTATACCCCTCACATTTAAGTTCCACCCATATTCTTCACAATTAGACATATTTAAGATGGGAGCCAAACTGCTTTTCCATATAAAATATTGATAAAATGCTCTTAAGCTGTGCTGTTTTAAGGCGGCAGGTGGAAATTTATAAGTATCATTGCCTAGTTTAGACGACATTTTTGCTCCCAACTCATTTATATTGTTGTAACAACGGGAAATCGAAATAGACTTCGAATAGGTACAAAATCATACAATATTTTTGCATCCTTTGAAATAGGGGTTCAGTAAAATTCCTATGCTCTAACAAGGCTGTCCAACATGAGGCCCGCGGGCCGCATGACACCTAGTTTTTTGCGACCCGTAAAACAAGCACTAAAATGTATACATTTCCTTCAAATAAGAAATATGCACATATCACTGACGTGTTGCATACAAAGATGTTATAATGCGACCCTCCAAGTTGAATTTTTCTTAAGGGCCACTTGTAATTGGCCATCCCTGCTCTATATAAAGTAAATCGTAGTTAGTATTTTTGAAAAACTTTCCATGCAGATGCTTTTCCAATTCGGTTGAACTGACCCCAAACATTGCACACATTGATGTAGAGCATATGAATTTTACTGAACTCCTATTTCAAAAGTTGCAAAAATATTGTACGTTTCAGTTTCAGGTGATCCCAAAGTAAGAAGCTATTTGATACAGAGGATATCCTTAGCGATTTAACGAGGTACCTAATGGTGGTTCCATTCCTCGACAGTGTAGTCTAGATGAAATATTATATCTTTACCTGAAACCGTCAAGAAAATCTAAATTTCAGGGCTATTTTGACATTAGAAAGTTGATCTTTACCTGACTAGTACTGTAATATTTTTGCCTGACTCCCATTACAGTCCTAGTACTTGCAAAATAACAATTAGATCGTTCATTGAATAAGTTATTCAATCAACGTTGGATAATTATAATGCAGACTGTGGATATTTTTAAATATTAATATACCTACACAAAGGATAATGGTTTTTTTAATTAATAACAATTAATGGAATATGTGTGAAAGTAATTATTTCTTTAGTTTTGCGCCAGTCATTAAAAGGTTTGTATGCCTTTTCGTGCTTTCTTGACTTTGTGGGGAGCGAATATTGCACTACGGTGGCCGCATCTTCGGCTACATTATAACAACGTCTCGCGTAGGTACTCTTCTTCACTGATACCTGCTTTTGTACCTAGTTATTAAGACTGTATAGTTGAAAAGTACAAAGCATAAACTGCAAACTGCATTAAAAATGACACTGATTGTTTTAATTATTTTGAAATCTCTATGGAAACAATTACCTAATGTCATTTTAGCATGCGTGATTAGGTATCAAAATTTCACACATATGAATAATTTAATTTGGAAAAGTTATCTACATGTTGCGGTTTCAGGTAAAATTTTATACATAATACGTCATGAAAGTGAGTCCACCTGACTTGGAGGCATTAAAGAGATACTCGGACGCTACGCGTCCTCGTACTTTTCAATAAGCCTCCGCGTCATGTAAACGACCACTTTCATGACTTATTATGTAAATAACTATTAATTAATATCCTTGTTATAATATTCTTATTCTTAATTTTTATTATTTAAAAACAATTGTAGGATTTTGTACCTATGCGTAGTCGCAGTCTATTTTGATTTCCCGTTGTTACAATATAAATGAGTTGCGAGAAAAATTGTGGTCCAAACTGGGCAATGATAAACTTCAACCTACAACTGACGCCTTAAAAGATTTTTATCAATAGTTTGTATGATGGAAAAGCAGTATGACTCCCATCTTAAATACCTCTAATTGTGAAGAATATGGGTGGAAATTAAATCCTATGTGTACGTTCTTGCCGTATATGCAATGTAAAATGAGCGGAGAAAAATCCTTATATTTTCATTACCATTAGAGCTAACGACAAATAAATGCGCCGTTGTAAAGATAATTAAAAATAGGAACTTTTTGAAAAATTCCATTTTTTCCTTTTTTGGACCGTTTGGACATCGGTATCAACAGACGAAATTAGGGGGTTTAGTCCAAACTCTACAGAAAAACATCATTAGATGCTTTTTACCTTCAAAAGCTTGACGGGGTGGATTTCTAAACCACTTTTGAGCGCGCGGGAACTCTACTATTTCTTGGCGAGCGAGCGAATCTACTTTGAAGGGGGTTGAGCATTTCGACGCGAGTATTATTAGATTGAACATTTAATTGTCCTACTGAATTAGGATTTATAGGTGTAACACATTATATTATAATTATTAATCACACACAATTCATTTACGCAATGATAATTAGAAAACTTGTATAAGAGATAGGTACTCGTAACAATGGACGCCTAAATGATATTTTATCTCTTACTGTATGCATACGTAATGACTTAACACAGTTAGGCTAGGAAGGAACATTTCCTGTCACTTGCATGCAAAAGTGATGACATTAGGTGGTTATTGCCGATATGATCATTATCTCTGTGAATTAACCATGACTTAATACTAAATCTAATAACAACTAGTTTTCTTTCTAACGATCCCAAAGTCAATGAGTACACCAAAATACATGCGATAATAATAATAATAATTTTTAATAATAATAATTTATTAAGCCTTTGTTGCTATTTTACAATAGATAAGGCAAGTCACACAGAAAAAATCAGTAGTAGGTATAAAACACACACATTGTACAAATATAGGACAAACATTATAATTTAGATGACATTCAAATACTCTTGGACTGTGTAACAACACTTTACAATGAGGAAGTCTTTGAGTACATTTTTGAATGTGTTTGTATTATTAATATTTTTGATGTCAGGTGATAGTACATTGTAAAGGTAACACCCTGCGTACTGGACTGACTTCTTGAACTTTGAGTGATGGGAGATACAAATTATCTCCAGATCTAGTGGAGTATTCATGATTGTCACGGTTTCGTTTTAAAACTAGTCGGTGTTTATGAATGTACCTACACTAAAATTTTTAACAGGTAAACTGACACAAAGGTTAAAAGTCTATTGTTTCTAAACGTGTCTCTACACGATTCGTTAAATTTTAGGTTGTATATACGCCGGATTATTCGTTTTTGTAAGGTAAACACTCTACAAGCTTCTGTTGCTTGTCCCCACACGATAATATTATAACTAAAAGCAGAATACACTTTGGCATAGTAAACTGAGAGTAACGCATTTTTGTCCAGGTAATTAGTTAAATTAAGGAAAAGATAGTGTAGTTTTTTTAATTTTGTACAGACGAAGTCAACATGGTCAGAGAAAGTCAACTTACTGTCGATAACAGTTCCCAGAAAAGTAGCTTTTTCGACAAGATTAATAATTTGTTCGTCGTTGGTTTGAATTGGGGTAGTTTGGAGGTTACTAATTCCGTAGCTGAAGCCTAGGCACGCTGTTTTGTTTATATTGACTTTCAGTTTATTATAAAGGCACCACTTCATAAATAAACTGAGCGCAGTTTCGAGCTTTGATATTGCTTCTTCTCGAGTTGAGGCTGAGACGATAATAGTGGTGTCATCGGCATACATAAAGAGAACGCCATATTTTCCCAGATACTCGACCATATCGTTAACGTAGATTAGGAAAAGCATTGGAGCAAGGGTACTTCCCTGTGGAGTCCCAATATCGATATTAAATTGTTCTGATTTCTCTCCCTTTATGTGAACTCTAAAAGGCCTATCCGACACGAAGGAAATCACCCATTCGTTAACTTTTCCTCTAATGCCTGCTGCATTTAATTTTTCTGTAAGTAGTTCATGGTCTACAGTGTCGAAAGCCCGTGAGATGTCGAGAAGCGCTGCGATTACTACCCTCCCACGGTCCAGTTCTTTATGAATTTCCTGGATGAAATCAATCGTGGCAGTTTCTGTTGAGCGGTTTGCTCTAAATCCATACTGAGAATGACTTAAGACATTGTTGTTATTCAGAAATGCAGAGATTTTATCGCACACAATTCTCTCAATTATTTTTGAAAACACTGATAGCACTGAAATTGGTCTATAGTTAGACGGGTCCTTTGGATCAAGTTTTTTGTACACATTTGATAAAAAATAATAGTTATTTACTTCAATCAAAATTTAAACATATCGTATGTCATAATGAAGTTTGACGCTTAGCAATCTAGATACGGGTATGTTTCAATTTTAAATGCCATTATTAAAATTAACGCAGCAATTGTTGTTTACTTTCCTCACTAGTCACTAGAGAGGAAAATTGTATTTTCCTCACTAGTGGCGAAAGTAAAAAACAATTGCTGTGTTAATCTTAATAATGACATACGATTATCTGGATTGCTGTGATAAACTTCGCATTATTGCATACGAAAATTTTTCAATTTTAATTGTAGTTTCAGAAAAAAATATGTGTAAAACTTGAGAGGAAAGTATTTTTCACTTTCTTCTCTAGTTGTACAAATAACTATTTCTTGGAACTCTGTATAAGTTTACATATTTCGACTTCTAACCCAAGTGCCAAGCTCGTTTAGCCGAGGTCATGCACAGTAGGTACTATTTTTGAAAGTGAATTAATTTTCAACTGTTCGGTTCGGAAATGAAGTACTTCACTTTCAGATGAAATTTTAGAGCTGCAAACTCTAAGATTGGAGATTTAAATTTAATGTTAGATGTTCATTTGTGTTGACGGGCGTGAAGGCAGATTTTTCAGCGAAAATTAGAACTGCACAGAAATAAAAGAAAATGGAATTATGAAAATTATCGATCTAACAATTTTATTAGGTTGGTATTATCAAAATTTCACATGAAAGTGAAATAGAATTTTAGCATGTAAAACGGGTTCAATTTTCCTTTTAGATAAGTTTTAATAAAATCTTCAATTTTTAAAGTACTCCTGGAAGGACGCACCAAAGCTTTTATAGTCAAACTTTGATATACGTGCGAAAATGTGTTCGAATGTAATCCAAATTACACATGAAAAGTGCGAGTAATTGATTTCATTAAGTTACTTCTACAGTCGATCTACTATGTTTTTTCATCCAGTTAGTTAAGGGATAAGACAAAAGACAAAAACTTTATTAGAGAGCGACATTCTGGAGTTATTTTAGATTTTTGCAAAAGAAAGTCGCAGTTGAAGCAGAAGAAAACGTGTCTGAATTACGTTTAAAAAGACATTTTATACAAAGGAGAATTCAACTGAGAAACTTCCTTATTATATATTTTTTGCACATTATTTTCTTCTTGTCTCGTCAAATCAATTTAAAAAATGTCTACGCTAAGATTATTTCAAAAATTGCAATGTAAGCCTATAATTTTCTATCAAATTGTCCTTAGTCTTATCCCAACTTCAAACGAACAGTGTAAAGATGTTGACATTAAGCACGTTTATTTATCTTTGGGATCTTTAGATCGGATATTAGTTAGTGTCTAATTGGAAAATAAAAGCCCCTCACACCATTGTTTTACATACAGCCATTGTTTTTCAATGTAATGTAAAATAAGAAGCTAAAGCCAATCTTGTATTACGGAAAAATTTGTCTATCTCAAGAAGAGCCTGGAGAAACTTATATCTTCCACATTTAAAAAAACTCCTGGTTTAGTTTCACAATAATTGTTAGTTGCCTGTTACATCATCGTGTGACAAACTGAATAATTTATTCAATGAAATCGAACACGTACGCACCGTTTAAATTTCCAGCACGTCCAATTTGGTTCAGTCAGTTACTTTTCACTTTACTTCCTTTGGTAGTGTAAGTGATAATGGGGGGTAGCTCTTTTGGTATATATACGCGAGATACCTTGACCGAAAATATTCAAGTAACTGAATTGAAGGTTATAGTTTTGAAAATGATGTACAATAAGGTAAGGTGTCGTAGACCAAGTTGTTTTAGATAACAATAAGGTTTTTTTTGTGTAGATTTTCGTAATGATGTCGGTGTTGGCGTGCCGTGCGATGGGGAGTGTGGTGGCACCGGTCTATGCCCCGGCGTTGAGTTACACAAGAGCAGTTCCGTACAACATTCCACCATTCGCTGCGAGTGTTAACGTTTTTAACAGACTAGTTCACGCTCCAGTTGTGCATGCGGCACCAGTTTTACCGGCACCGGCGATTCTTCCCCATGCTCGTTCCATTCATCCGATTCCGGCTCCTCTCCATTTCCCCCACCCCTTACATGCGCATATAGGTCATCCAGTTGCTGCACCTTTAGCGGCACCAGTTCCTCACGCTTTTCCAGCAGCGGCCCCTGTTCCTTTCCCATATGGTTTACCGGCACCTTTACCACATGCCTTACCGGCCCCTTTACCACATCCTTTACCGGCACCTTTACCACACGCTTTACCGGCACCTTTGCCACATGCAGTAGCCGCACCTGCACCTTTACCTTATGCGCTACCCGCGCCCTTACCACACCATGTAGCGGCACCATTGCATCACGCAGCACTTCCGGAACCCTTACCTCATGCTCTCCCGCAGCACTTGCCGCATGCGGTTCCTTGGCGAAGATGAGGAGATTAGTGCAATTAGACTGATATAGGAATGCTAATTCCAATTTATTGCCATTATTTTATGCTTACATTTATTGTATATAGTTTTTTTTTAATAAATAAATATCGATGATTTGTACTTATCTTGTAGTTACTGGACCTGATTTCCGGAATTTTTTTCTGAGTTATTCGGTTAGTTACTTATAAGAATTCGCTAGTGGCATGACGCATCGTTTGAAATAGGTACCTTCCTTTCTAAATTATAGATCGCAATTTATCAAGTAGTGAGAAAATCAGAGCGGTGTACCTTAGAGGATGAATATATTTGGTTTTTGTGTGCCACTCTGAATAAAAAGACATTGGTACCTTTTTTCGATTTCTATTATGGTAAAGGAATTATAATCCGCGGATTATAATTCCTTTACCATAAGATATCGAAAAAAGGTAGGAGCCAAAGCAAAAAAATATACAAGATGTACTGAAAAAAGTAGCAAGTACTTATAATTTCCGGTTAATCTGGAAGTAAGTAGTAGTCATTAACAATACAGATTTAAACAATTTTTCGTTTGTAATTTACTTCAAAGGAAAAATTCTAACAAAATGGGGGAGTAATAAATTTTATACTGCAGAATATAGATTACATTTTGATAAAAGTCTTTATAAGGATTATTGAATTTTTCAAAATAAGTATACTGGTCAAGCAAAAAAGTTATAGGAGCTAACCTCATTTATTTAAAAGGATCTCTGAATCTACAAATATCTTTTTCCACCAGGGATATTAAAAAAAAGTTCACGTATTAAAAAAATTCAAAGATTTTGAGCTTTCTTGGTGTTGTATTTTTGAAAAGAGAATTCAATATGCTATCGTTTTAGATTAAAATATGCAAGGTGTTCCGGTCTTATAACTTTTCTACCTGACCTCGAATACTTACTTTGAAAACGCCAGATAAACCACCAACCGAGGGGTTGATCACGGGGGAAATTCTTGTCTCTCATATAAGGAATAGCTGAGACATATGCAGGACATGGACGAAATTAGACGAAATTCTCGGGAAATATTAGAACATTTTGGGGAAATAGGAGGAAACCTCAAAGGAATGAGGAAATTATATGTAAATATTAGGAAATGCTAAAAAAAATAAGAGGAAATTCTGAGGAAATCTAGAGGAAATTTTAATGAAATAAAAGGTTTCTACTCGTATAAGGAAGTAACGTTACTCATTTTCACCTTAATTCGGAGAAATTTTGCGTAATTTTGGGGAAATTTGGGGTTAATGCAATTAACAATTCAGAAATATTGGGAAAACTAAGGCACATAGCAATTTTCAGGCGACGAAGAAAATGTTTTTCCCTTAAAATAAGTAAGGGAGATTCTTGTCCTACATATAGGTAAGAAATTTCGAGGACATATACAGGAAATGGACAAAATTAGACAAACTTAAGGGAAATGATGGTAATTTTTAGGCAATAAAAGAAATCTTGGTCCCCTAAAACAAGTTGTGATCAACCCCAAGGGTAATTCTTGTATCTCATATAGGAAATTTCGAGGAAACAACTAGCAAAAATGTAGAAAATGGAAGAAATTGGAGAAAATTCTGGGGAAATACTAGGAAATTCTGGGGAAACAGTAGGAAACGTCACAAGAATGAGGAATTTGTAGGTAAATATTAGTAAATGTTAAGGAAAGAGGAAATTCTAAGGAAATTTTAAGGAAATGAGTTTCTACGAGTATAAGGAAGTAGCGCTATTCATTTCACGTTTATTCGGTGAAATTTTGTGTAAATTTGGGGAAATGTTAAAGCACTGCTAGAAATTTTGGGAAAATGAATAAGGGAAATGGTGGCAATTTTCCTTTCCTTCTTATAAGAAACCTTGTTCTTCCTATAAGAAATTTCGAGGATATACGTAGGAAATGGACAAAATTAGACGAAATTCTGGGGAAATATTAGGAAATTTTGGGGGAATATGTAAAATTCCGAGGAAATCTAGCGGAAATGTTGAAGACATCAAGGGAAATGGTGGCAACTATAGGCAATAAAGGAAACTTTTCTCCCCTAAAATAAGTCGCCAAGTAATACAATATAGGGATAAGAGTGTTGATCAAAACTAACATCATTTCCGAAAACAAAATGAATTGTGAATTTTTTTTTGCCGGGTAATATCGAATTTTATTAGTATTTTAAGGGTGGATTCACCTCAGAGTGCCTATTTTGTTAGTTATTCTACAGACGAGTATCGACTCTTTCTTGTCACCAGTAGCGTATCAAACTCATTGAACTTTATTGAAGAATTGGAAAGTACTTATTTTTTATGTAACGTATTATACCCTTAACTTTAACGATTTCGCCTTTTTTCCATAAAATTTGACTGTTTTTCGGAGAAAGTAAATCGCGCCCTACACTTCTACATAATTTTTTTATGTCCTTTGTCGTAAACAAAATTTTTCATTGACCTTCGCCACATGAGAGCTCCTAAACCGAATTTACATTCAACTGTTTAAAGAGATGTTCCTCCTCCCCACCCCCCTCATATTTTATAGGTTAGAGCAATATTTCCTCCATGAAAATGATACAACATTCATATGCATGTTTGTTGGGTATTATTTGGGAAAAAATCCTTTTTATGCTTAACCACGAATCTTACTCCATCTAGTGCCAAATGTAGAAACTTGATAATAATTTCCAGCGATAAAATATCTTATATCAAGAGATTTGCATTGCAAAGATAGCTGACATAGGATGATGAGGCACTGAGATCTATAGTTTCTTTTAAGAGTCCACCCAAGTAGTGTACATTTCTTGGATTGTGACGAATCCTATTGGCTCTTAGAGATCGGCTCACTTAATTACTAGACGTCATGTTGAAAAAGGGCGTTAAATAACTAAGTAACAATAAGTGGGGGTCATCTCAGGGATATGTTGCATTCTCCTGGCGCGATCGCCGTGCAGCTAAAAGTATACATTTCCACTAAATGTTACTTAACGTCGTTAGTGAACAAACGGGGTTGAACTTTGTGCAATACGGGACAATAAAAATCGCAGTTGAATCCACAATATGTACGAAAAATTGAAGGGGTAGAATTTGCCAGTGGCAGGTTTCTACAGTGTACAGTGTTTTTTTAAACTAATTTTTCAGCAATTCTTCTTATTATGTAAGTTGTGGCCCTAAAAAGGATCGATTTAAAAAAGTTTTTAATGCCCCCGTAAATGCTCGAAATGTTGGACATCAAGCTCTATGCAGCCCCGAAGCCTCTCATGGGTAGACAAAACTGCAGCCAAAGTGTGTAATTCTTTGCATCAATCAATTCATTTTGCAATCATCAATTGCGACTCTTGGTATGTTACGTATTGCATTACGAATCCGGTTTTTCATATCTTCTCCGGTCGTAGGTTCAGTTTGACACACGATGTCGATTAACCGCCCACAGAAATACATGGAAACAGAATTCCTCTTCCAATCCACCGCTGTTAAAACACTGCATTAATATGCTCTCGCACAATAATGGCAAAATATGCCGGGAGACCATGCAACTGCAAACAAAAAGTTTTTCCGTGAGCACATCTTCCAACAACAGCGCCCAACGGTAATTAATTGGCCAAAAAGTCAAGAAAGACGTCGCCATTTAGGGATTGCTCGAAAAATATGGCCCAATAATTACACATCAACTTATCATCTATTATAAGGCCAAGGTATGTGACTGCTCTATCGCTTGGAGTAGGGTTTATTGCTCAGAAGGTCATTACATCTGTTTTAACTTCGTTTAAATGTAGTTTATTAGCTAGAAACCATTCATTGACTTTTGCCTGGGTATCCGACATTAAGCTCTGTATTACCCTGACAAGAAATTGTTGTCATCTGGAAAAAGGGTCCACTTACTGGTGTACAAGTACTTGGTGAAGCATTAATGAAAATTAAAAATAGTATGGGTCCCAATACTGAACCTTGGTGAACTCCATGTTGAACGGGTAGCGTTTTAGACTTTGAGTTATACACTACAAATTCTTGCCTACTTGTAAGTACGACTTTAGCAAAGCCACTGGGTTTTGATTGAACTTGCCAATCAGTATTGAATAAGATACACAGTCAAATGCTGTGCTCAAGTCACCAAAAATTGACCCTGGGAAATATATTACTTTTCTCAAATCCTTCTAGTATGAATTTGGCACGGAATTTGATTAGATTATGAACTGCCGTGGTAGTAGAGCGTGCTTGTGTTTCAAATATTCAATTAATTCATTGCCAAGTGCCTTTCGTGGGAACTCTAACGGAAATAAAACTTTTACTTGCTTACAATCATAAATAATTGAGGTTGACGTTTGAAATAATTTTGATATTGTAGAGAAGAATTTTATCAGCACAGGGGTAACCACCCCTAACTTTGTATCAATAATATCGTTTTCTGTAAGAGGACATTTCTTACATGAGGTACTGTTATGTAACTTATATAAATTAACAATTGTTAAGGAAAATTTGGGTTTGAATGGGTAAAGATAGCAATTTTTTGACAAATTTAAAGCCATTGGTATTACATGTATTTTAGTCAACTTCTAAATCGTTATAAAAAAGTAGTTTTGCATTTAAAATTGGGTATGATTTCAATACAGGAAATTTAGAAGTGAAGGAGATTAATATGAAAATGTATAAAATATGTTTTGCCATCTTTTGTTATTAGATTTAATATTAAGTCAAAGTTAATTGGCAGAGATCGTGGTGACGAATTTGATCTAATTAAATTGAAATTCCTGGTAGAAATTTCAAATAATCAAATATGTAAAGGAATTGTAAAATGGTACAAGCTCATTATTTAGATTTGTCGTCAATGCATCCGACAATTTATTTAAATTTTATTTAAACTCGGTGTTTAATTTTGCAAGCAAGTAATTAGTACTTAGTCACGTGTCTTTAAAACTGGAAAAAGTATGTCTACCATCGATTTTGATGTAATTTTTTCCTTTGTGAACATTATATATAAGAATTAGATGATGTGTAGAAATGTATGCGAGCCTATTCCAACTCGTTTGTGACAATCCTACATGAAAAAATGGTCTATACTTCTGGTCGAATTTTAGTAAGAGTTCCGTTTATTTGCTTAAAATAATCACATGAGGGCCAAGTTCTCAAAGCAATTTTTGTAACACGTACAATATTTCTATAGTGTCCTTAAGAAGGAATTTTGAGGCATACGTTGCCAACTTCGACCACGATACCTTCGATACCAACAATGTATGTACCTCTACCGTTCTGGTTATATTTTGGTCAAAGTTATTTACTTGAAATGCTTCTAACCAAATTAAGTAGGGTAATATACAGGGTGAAGGGCACGCCATCCCCTTTAAGACATGCAATAGTTATAGTACATCAACCATATTTATCATTTTTTAATATAATCGTATCAAAATCATTAATTTTTGTACATACCTAGGACGGAATTGTGAAGAGTCCATTGAACCCCGTATAATATTTTGACCTAAAGATAATAAAATATATTATGATACGTCACGACCATTTTAAACATTTCTAATTGATAACAGATGTTCACAATTGCTCTTCTAAATGCATTAAAACTTTTGTACCTACTAATTGATATTCGGCCTACAGTTTGTGTTCCTTACTCTTTCCCAAAAGTAAACTCATGAGGGTGCTACAGAGAGTAATTCTCGGGGCAAGCTTTCATTGGATATTACTGGATACAGTGAGTCCTAAAGATGATTAGGTACAATATTGAAAAAACCGTTGGAGCAAGTGTATTATTTATGCTGTATGCTAAAAATTGAAATGCACTTGTTCAAATTTATTTGTAACATAAACTCAGCACACAGAAATTGCACAAATTACCCATTTTTATTTAATGTTGGGAGATAATACTCGTTTACTTCCATTTCAATTGAACTCTTTTTCTTTTATTGATAACACCATATTGTATACGTTTTTGTCTGTAATCGCCAAAACATTACCTAACAGTATTACGAGTGCACTTGTAATGCGCACCATGTACGAAGACACGGTGCGTTATTGCAGAAATGGGTCACACGTAAAGTCAATAATGGGCAGTTTCACGAAATCGTTAAGTATATAATAAGGTACCCTCGGTAGATGGAATCATTCGAATCTCAACCCGCTAACGAAATGGCAACCAAAGTTGTAAGTATTTCGGTTTGTAGTTTAGGTGTTCATCTCATTTTGCGTATTTTTCAGATTTTAGTCTTTGCAATTTGTTTAATGTCGTGCTGCATGGCATCGCACGTGGTACCAGCGTTTGGAGCAGCCTACGTCGCCCCATATGCCAGTTCGTACACGGCCCATGTCGTGAACCACGCGGTTGCCGCCCCCGTAGTTGCGCCAGTTGCAGCGTACAGCGCGTATTCAGCTTTACCATATCCTTACACCGCACCCTTAATTCTGAAGAGATAACTGCCAGTATGCCTAATGTGAATTTTGACGTTTTGGAAGAGTAATAAATAATTTTGCATTATAATACCTCTGCGCCTTTAATCAAAGGGTTTTGCGCTTCTCTGGTAGCCTGTAGGTACTTTATTGTGATACGGCAAGCTTTCTGCTCGTTATTTGCATCAAAATGCAGAATTTTTTAGTTAAAATTTTTAGAAAGAGACCGTAGCCATTTCTTGAAATAACCCTTTTCATGTATTTTACTGTAAGGGTTGAAAAACTGAGAACTCAGTTTGCAAAGTGTATATTCCCCAAACCCTAACAGCAGACATGATGCCAAACAACCCCCTACTATCTCTAAACAGTGCCACTACTAACCGCCAAGTGTTACCCAGATAGTTAGTATTCAAAGTGCGTTGATTTGTACACGTAAATCAAACAATGTGAAAGAGAAATCAATTAAAATCGCATTTTAAATATGTGACAAACATGCGTCGCGAAGAAATCGAAATTTATTTAGTGTTACATAAATTAGTAACAACAGCTGATGGTAACTTGTATTCGTTCCATGAGTCCATTGCTTGACGTGCTTGGTTATGGGGTAATTAACGTGTATTGGTATAGGCTTTACAAATCTGGAGCTTTTCCGCACACTAATTCACAGTGGAAAGCTTAGAACTGGATACAAAATGGCGTTGACGATAGTTTTTAAACTTTTGTATATTTCTTTATATGGCACTTCATACCGAGCAATATCATACGTGACTGGTTGACAGCTTTTATCACTATCTGGACTGGTTTAATGACGATTATGATATTAATTGAAGCCCTTTTTCTAATTAACCGTTTCAAAGTTGTTTTATTTTATTTATGAAATAAAATACCCTTGGTGCCGTTTAGCTTGCCGAAAGGGATGTCACAGAGGTACATCTCTGACCCATGTTTGATGACGATAGTTGTCTTTCTCTTTGATATCTGTGAATAATCACAGTTTCTGATTTTTTTAAAACTAATTTTACAAATAATCACGATTTCTATTTTATAATTTAACCCCTAATTGGACATAATAAATATTATTGTAATAAATAAATTTTACCCCCTGTGGGTTCGGGGTTAGGATTGGCCCACTCCCGTCCTGGAGATCGTAAGAGGCCATCAATGGACAGGGGAGGCGTTGAGTCCTCTTCCTTCTTAGACTCCACCAAACATCCTTCCATTCTGAACACGTACCCTTCCATCGTCTTCCAATTTATCCCGTGTGAAGTTATCCCCCCCCCCCCTCCAACATTAAAATAATGAATCGTCAAATACTTCCTTCGTTTGCACATTAATTGCAGATTTTTCGTTTGCACATTTCTCTAAATAAAATCAAAAAAAACAAATTTAGGGGGGGAGGCAACTTCATGATTCCAGCCCCTATTGATGGAACACCATTATTTCCCTTGTTTGCACATTGATTGCATATTGTAGACACACTTCGATTTTTCGTTTGCACATTTCTCTGAAAAAAGATATTGAAAAAACAAATTAGGGGGGGGGGGGGGCAACTTAAATTGAACGGTATATAATTCATTCGTTTGCAATTTGTTTGCACATGTAGCATACCTCGATTTTTTGTTTGCGCATTTCCCTAAACAAAATCTGAAAAAATAAAAATTGGGGGGCTACCTTCACGACTTTACTCTTCCAACATTAAAATAATGGAGCGCTATATATGTCATTCGGTTTTACTTCGTTTGCCTATCCACGCACAAGTTCTTCCTTTACAGTTTTTACTAAAAAAAAGTAATTTCAGGGGCCTAATTTTAGACCCTAACCTTAAAATAGAACTGTATATTATACTTTATCCGATTTCACCTCCCTAAAAACGAAATTAAGAAAATAAACGGGGTAGGGTACATTCGCCACTTTTTATCGAACGTCCCTAAATGCATATTTTGCACTGATAGATTTTAGTTTGTCTATTTCGGAAACGGGGTGTTTTATTTTTGTTACACCATTTCCGATACCACGTTTATTTCGTTAGCACGTCGTCTTAAGTATTAACTTGGAAATTTATGACGCGATCTTCATGACAATATTTAACGCCACATTTTTGCAAATTTATTTGTAAAAGGGTAGCTTTCAATATCAGTCGAGCACATTCTTCGGTACTACCCTGAAACGAGAGAGAAAACATTAGAACAAGGAATAAACATCCATTAAGAAAATAATGCTCTATAGACATTAAAAGATACAAATAGGGCAAATTTCCATTCCACCGAATGCTCGCTTATTTATTGTTACAATTCCACTATCAAATCTCCCGAACATATAACTTTAAAACACAAATAAAAAAAAAAACCTCAGCTTAGTTTAGATTTTAATTTTTAATTTGTACTAATACTTTTTTTGCGTTTCGTCAAACACTATACTAACCTAAGCATGTTTTAAGAACCTTATTGTACTAGTTCAGGAATTATAACATTGCAGAAAAAATGTAAATGATCAAATTTTAACAAATTTCCAAATTTAAAACGCCGAGCGCCAGTACACATACTTTAGAGAAATTATTGAATTCCCACAGTAGTTCAAAACTCTCAAAAGCATTCTAGTAAAAAATAAGGATACATATCGGACAAAATTTTCCAGGAAATTTGCCCCATAGGTATTCTCGCACGATTAGGGCGTTATGCGCGAGTGCACCATCCTGTTGAAGCCAACGGTTTCCAACTTTTGTTTTTTGTGTACGGTATATCGTTGTTTTCGTAATACAAAATGCTTCTCAAACGTATGTACTTTTTTATGGGCCATATAAAAATAAAGTTAGTGAGGCTTTCCACGAAACAAAGCGTTGTCTTGAAAATCTCTCAATACTGTCACATGAAGCTCAAATAGTGGCAATGGGAAAGTGTTTTTATTTATTTATTTTTGTATCTGTTCAAAATTCAAATAACATCAGAAAAAATAAAATAAAAATCGGCAAATTTCGTTTTTTTTTTGGCATATTTTTAGAAGTAATCGGAATTTTCTGGTTTTCTGTACAACAAATGTTCCCTAGTTTGACCATCTTCTTACCTTCTATGGTTTCCGAGATTGCCATGATAGACATCCTGATCTTGGACACAAAATGAATACCAACTTAATAACTTAATTTTTGTTAATTATAATCCTAAAGAAAACTTTATGTTTAGAACTCCTTTTTGGCGCTTTCCCCAACAAGTATTGTTTTTATTGGATATGTCCCAGAGGGTTATTTAGCAAAAGGACTTCTGATAATAAGAACTGCATGCCTATATCGTTATTGATTGTGAAATTGAATAAAATACCTAGTTCTTATTCCGGAATAAAACATTGCATAAACGATCTCAAGTCAATTAGGAGCTAAATCTTTCTGTATCTGCCTAACGAAGAGGTATTTGGAGTCCTGTTAAAGGAATTTGTGGGTCCCTTGATGGCAGTATGTAAAGTAACCATCATGTAGTCTCATAGGATTACCCAAAATTTAAAATTTGAATTTTCCCACCGTAACTAACTAAACCCTGCACTAGTACTCGATGGAGAGTGATTGTTGCAAAATGAAAAAGTTTAAAAATCCTTTTATTGATCAAATCTAAAGCTATGTAGACGTCGTACCACAGTTACTTGACACCGAAACCCAAAGGATCTGAGATCGATATGCGCTGAATTCGCACAGAAAAATCTTCGCCACCTAGTAATAAACTAAGTAATTATGGTACCATTCTGGTGCACAGTATTCCATTGCAATTACCAAATAACTAATATTTGGCACATATAACATATAGAAAACAGCATAAATACATTTAGATAATTTTAAAATTGGATGGCCAGTCCATCCCACACAGATCTGTGTTTAGCTGCTCCTGGTCCTAAAAGAAGTGAACAAACATTTCTCTACTAATTTCTATTCCGGAACACTGCATAGGAATAAAAAAGTTTCTTTTTAAACAGTCATGGCATTATTCTTGGGAAATTGAAGTTAATATTGAAACTTTTAATCTAAAGTGATAGGTATAGACACTGTGATTAAAACTATAACAAAACTGGTTAGAAAATTGCATTCCCCTAATTTAGGAATAATACAACGCACAAAAGATCCCAAAACAACTCAAAAGAGCTTCATGTTTTATGATAACTTTTTTGCGTTTCCTTTTCAAGAAAAAAGGAAATCCTAAACGTTCTCTATACTCTGCATGCAACTTTGTAACTTAACGAAAAGACGAATTAGGTATACAGTTACTAACAATAATATTGGTACTTAATTGGATCGCACCGTAAACTACCTACTCGTAACAATTGTTTAGCACTACTGCAACGATTATAACCAATTCAGTAATGTTAACCTCGACCAAATTTCAAGCATTTCACTGCATTCCTAGCATAGCGAAAGTGGAGGAAAATAAATACTTATATCAACCGTATAGTTAATTAATCATAAATCAAGTAAAATTTATTTAACGAATCGTACCCTTCACATTTTGCAAAATTTACCTAAAACGTAAACTAGGAATTAATTAAGATAATTGTGGTAATGTAAGTCAAGTACGACGCTTCAGTTGGGGTACAAAATTAATTACGATCGTTGATCACATGAAGAGGTGTGTCCGCCACGGTCGCGGTATCACTTTGTATACGTGAAAGTAGAACAAGTGTGATTTTTGAGCTGCTGTTAGTACCTCTGAAGTGTAGCAAAAGTTTGAAAAAAAGTTAGGTGAAAGAACGTAGACAAGTAAACATTCTCGAGATATGTACATGATCAGGTTTTAATTTCTTTTGTTAGAAATTATGTAACACTTAACCGCACGCATGCAGTTTCTAGAAGGTATGGGATACGTTACGTAACTTTTGTATACCTACTGTTTTGTTCCAGTTGAATAACTTCGTCCATATCGCGTCGGTGAAAACTTCTCAGGTGTGGGTTTACCCTATGCATCCACAGCAAAACGTTCGCGTATGGTGCACACTGGTTTCAATGTGGTGCCTACATATTTTCAGAACAAAATTTTGTTCGAATCTGCTTAAAATTCAGACCCCACTCATTTGAAGGGTAGTAAGCAAA